CGGTGTACGTTGCCCCCACTCGTGATCTAGATCCCGGCACTTGCTACCCGTCCAGGATTCGGCAGTTGGAGGCTTGTTTGCCTCTGTTGCTATACGGAATACTCCTTGGCGCTCGGGTCTGGTGCGGGAATGACAGGGCGAATGTGTAATCAACTCCACGAATGTCCGCCAATGTCCGCGGTATTATTCCTTGTGTACGATTTACGTCAACCATCAACTGACTTTCGCTGATTGGTGCTTGCACTGTTGTGTGAGGGTGTGAAGTGGCATCTGGGGAAGCTTCGTGATCGACGGCTATGCTACCCTTAGGCTCTGACTAGGGAACTCAGATTCTCTACTCAGACCTCGAGCGGGCAATGGTAAACACCTAAGAAGCATAGAACAGCTATCAAAATCGCTAGAAATTTAGGTCTATTCTCCGGGGCCCGTCGCGGTCCGTGGACATAGAAACCTTGCCGCTATTCGTTAGTCCAGTCGGCTCACAGAGTTCTTTTAAGACCGCTCCGCTCCGCCTCCAGGGTTTGTTCATGTCAGATTTCGTACGAATGTGCCTTGCGTAACACACGCAGCCAGACGTTGCAACTTGCTTTGTGGACCTCTCGATTCGGCCTGTTATGCATGTGCATCGCTTCATCCCTCGTATGAGCATAGCGGGTCCGCATTCTATGCATCTGCAAGCTCCTTGACAGTTCACCCCATGACGTTTTTCTTTTTTTTTTTTTTTTGGACAGATTTAGAGCAGTGACTGCTGGTGTTCAGACGGTGCTAATTCCGCGTCGGATTTCGAGATGGTTAGCACCCGCATGTTCCGCATCGGCTTTGGTCTTGCAGGTCACAGCGCCTTGAGGATAATGTCAATTGAACACACTCCGCTTGGTGTGCAGCAGCAAATTGCGAATTCTGTCCCACCAAATGACTGCTCATATTGGATCCTTTTCGGCTCTCAGCCGCCGATGTGAATACGAATCAGACACAAGCTTTTGAAAGCTGACCTTTATAGTCACTTTAGCTTACTTCGCTGCATGAAGCAATCCTCATAAAAGCTACAGAAACCCTGATCTTCCGGCTTCTTCTCAAGCATTTAGGGTCTTCATTGTAGTGACCAGGACTCCTCTATAGGTTATGCCTTGGCTACAAATCAAGAAAAATCAATGACGGAAGTGACAATTTGACAGTCTGCAATCACAACACAGCGAGACAATGGTTAGCAAAGACAAAATTTTTAGCCGTGGTCGTTGTACGGAGTACGGAGCAGTCCACACTGTTGTGCCACCTCGAACTGAGCACAATGAATAATGAAGCGGGGGAGAGCAGGCCTAGCCAAGGGTACCCCGGACCCATCCGATCCGCCCCGGACACAGGACGGCCCCACAGCGGGATTCGGAATGGATGCCTCAGGCCGAAACATAGCGATTGGCTGAACCCCTCGGCGGGGCAAGACCCTTGGACTGGTGGTACATTGGAACTTTCGAAGCTTGGTCCAAAATCTCAGCCCACTGAACGCCACTCTCCTCCGACTTCTTCCTCCAACTACCAACGCCTCTATCACGATTGAAACATCGCAACAATGGCGAAATCGAAGGCCGCGAAGAAGCGCAAACAGAACGCCCAGGATGAGCTTCCGCGAAAAGCTCCCAAGACCGCAGCGACGACAGCCACGCCACCTGACAGCGACGACAATACCGCCTCAAACCTCGAGCCCAAGAGCCTCCAGACGGTAATATCGGATGAGGAACTCGACATCGCCATTGACACCTTGAACACCCTCGCCAAATACCCGAATCTTATCAAATCGAAGCAATGCCGAGATCTCCGCGTTGCCGTTTATGAGTTCCGTCAGAATTGCGCCAGTGGTGTCAACAATGCCCGTGTGTAGACCCCATATTATACGACGTTGCTATCTGCCAGGAACTGACAATTGGTTGCTTCAGCCGGCACAAATCTTGGACTTACAGCACGAATTACCGGCGCCCTCACCGACGAGAAATACGATGATGCCAGAATACTGCTATCTGAAATGAGAATCCGCGGCCAGGAGCCGAAGCTAGGAGCACTGTGTCGCTGGGTGCGCGACCTAGACGTCATTAGCGGCCTATCCACATTGCCTGAAGGAGAGGGAGACGGTGTTACCATGCAGAGAACCGAAAGGGACAAGCAGCGACTCTTAGTTCTTGATGCCGTCTTGCGAGCTTGTGGCCACTCAGACAGCAATCCCAAGGCCATGCCTTTGCCACTCTCTTCTACACCTGGAATCGCCCTGCAGGACACCTGGGATCTTCGTCCCACCACGCCATCCCTTCAGGTATACGACTCTGTACTTGACAAGACAATTTTTGAATCAGCGCCGGCGAATTTGGCAGCGTCTCTTCGCGTCATTGAACGAACCCCCGGCCCGCTGCGGAAGCCGCCCAACCACCACGACGCACTCCTTTACACAACCGCGCCGAACACGATACCCCTTGTCGACGAACGGCCACAAGTAACAGCACACGCACACCCTGTCGTGCCAGGGCTCAGCCTCCTAAAAGATGTTCTCTCCGTAGATGAATGCAAAGCAATCATAACCGCCGGCGAGACCGTCAGCTTCCTCCCCGATGCCCCTCTTCGCGAGGATGGAGACATTAGCATTCTCGCTCACAACTTCTACTGGGTCGTTGATACAACCTTCCACGATGCGCTTTGGTCTAGAGTTTCGTCCTTCGTTCCCCAGTCGGTCGACGGACGAATGGTACGCGGCCTTAACCGACGGTTCCGCGTATACCGCTACGTCCCCGGAGCTGAGTACCGCGCGCATATCGACGGTGCCTGGCCGCCTTCTGGTATTCTGCCAGACGACACATATGTCTACGATGCATCGCCCGAAGACAAGAAGCAGAGCTCCCTGTTCACGTTCCTCATCTACTTGAACGACGAATTTGAGGGTGGCGAAACGACTTACTTCCTTCCAGCGGCGCGGGAAGGCACGCTGAATGCGTACCCGGTGCGACCGGTCATGGGCGGAGTCGCCGTCTTCCCGCATGGAGATGCAAAGGGTGCACCTCTTCACGAGGGTACTGGTGTGAGAAAGGGCGCCAAGTACGTGATTAGGACGGAAGTCGAGTACGACGTTAAGCCAACGGAGGAGGCATGATCAAGTACACATCCATCCGAATGATAGCTGATTTCACATGGCATTTGGAAGTTCGGATGTGGGCTCTCGACCGACATATTTTGAGCAAGTCTGAGACTTTGCGATCAAATCAATACCAAAAGTCGGTCGTGGGCTTGAGCCTATGTCTCGTGGTGAATTGACTACGATTCTCTACTAAGCCGCTGTGACATTAGTACTTAAAGTACCGTGAGTCCAACCAGGATGCTACTCAACTCCGTATGGCTGGCTCAAGGGCGTCTGTGGGGCTGGCGTGCACCATATCAGCGGCATCGAAGTTGAGCTTCCACTTTCGCATCAACAAGCAGAAACCTGGAGATGCCTTCTGGCATTGTTGCCAAGTGCCTAGCTAGGAGCTTCCCGATGCCGCACAGCTGTCACGTCTGGTAGACCCAGAACCAGGATGCAGGGCCACGTTCACTGCCTGGGCTATTGCAGACAGCCTGTTCAACCTCAGCCTCTGAGCTAGCCGGGAGATTGGCAAGGCCTCGACAACCGCTAGACACGGCAACAGCCTGTCCTAATCGCTCTTCCCCGCAGACAGTCCGACGAGCAGGCGTTAAAGAGGTGATGGTCAAAGGGCATAAGATCAGACACTTAGATCGGCCTGACTTCTACGCTTAGGGCCAGCCTGGTCGCGGTCTGGTATGGACGCGGCCGGGTACAGAGGACAGGCGCAAAGGATGCACATGGCCAAGAGACGGGATTTGAAGATACTAAGGCTTGTCTATAGATACACTTCGATTAGATACTTAGTCGAGGTCTTAAGCAATCCACCGAACACATATCCCGCTTACTCGATCAGCTCCCAGTCTCCTGGGCCTTGAGAGTTTCTCCATCACTTTGTGAATTCGAACCAAATTCAGCTGTAGCCGGCACGAGGCTTTAGCAAGACAAGTTTCCGTCGTTGTTGGTCAAGCAGGTATCTACAGAAGTGTAAGTTTCGAAGGTATCTAGCTGATTATGACACAATGCATGTACGTACCAAGGTTCAAAGAAGAAGGCTGCTTAGCTCCAGTAGAGTCGGTGCAACGGCAGTTCAAAATCTTCTTGTCACTGCCGAGACCGCAGTCACAAAACTTGAAGGATGGGCTGGTGAGAGATATGTCAGTATAGGGGTGATTACTCAATTATCCTGATCTTTTAAAAAAGACTTTACCTCTTAGGACGGCACTATGCATGGTTGAGGAGTTAGTCAATCGAACTCTGAATTTTCTGAGGACCTAGTATGCAAGGAGGAGTAGACATACGACAACCTTGCCCCCGATGTTGGCAAGGCACTTTGACAAGTCGATGGGGGCGTCCTCGAAGTAGGGATCAACAAAGTTGTTCTTGCACTTCGCGTTGAACGTGGTGCCCGAGTAGGTCATGTCGCTGCATGTCGACGCGAAACCACTCGCGGCGACGAGTTGAACAGCAGAGGCTGTAAGGATGGCGAGGACAGTAGACGCATGCATGATGAATGAGTGTTGAGGTAATGTAAATGAGTGATGTTCAAGAAGTGAAAGACGACGAAGAGTAATTAGGATGTGAATGTTATCTTCAGTCTCTTAACAATGAGATAGGTGCATCAGATCTTACTTATATGACATGAAAACTGGCGGTGATCAGACCAACTGGACCATTGCGGAATACGAGTATTCGGTGTCGAAGCTTTGTGACACTAATGTCAAGAACCAAGTAATCGAGTCATGGTAGTCAATTGACGAAAACTCTATTTCCTCAATCTTAACTTGAAACCATGGTCATTCATTTACTCACAAAATAGTCGCAAATTTGTGTTATGAGTGATGGTCAAACAAATACAATACAACATCGTTCTTTGAATCCCAGGGCCAGTTGCATCTGTTGATATCATCTCGCAATCCAGAGAGTGGTGATCCCTCGAGGCGTCTTTGCGTCAAGAAAGTTCACGTATTCCTTCATATTCTACTGAAGTTCTTACCAGAACGGCGCTGCAGATTATTGTTGTAGTATATCAAGCGTTGATTGCTGCCCTCGATTAACGGCGTCGTTCTTGCGACAGTTATGTAGACGATAAATACTAAGGCAGACCTGGTGGTATATCCGTGCATCCGCGTACAGAGCGGGCGTATATGAGTGCGCCGGAGGGAACCATCTAGCTCGCCGAAAAGTTGCCGTGATGAGATTGAACCGGATGGTATTTCTGAAGCTTATTTAGACCCCAAATATTTAGGCCACATGGTATTTGGCATTGATCGACAACTCTAGAGGCGACTGACCCTGTTAATCTAATTATCTTTTAGTGCTATGAATGAACGGATTACTCCGTACGAAGTAACTATCTGAAACCGAATGCGAGCAGTACAGCTGGCATATTCAGCACAGACAAAGCTGCCATTCTGTTACGTGCTTTCTCACATGGCGCTCGCTCTCGCCGAGTATATATATTCGACCGCCGTCCTTTGCTCTCTTCCATACACTAGATGCCATCTTGTACTGGGCTTGGAAGCCCCTGGCGAAATGCCGGACGTGCAATACCATCACTCGTTCAGCGACCACAACGGAAACAGCGAATGAGTCAACCCAAGACCGACACATCGTGCCAACAATTTATGTCAATTCTGTCTATCAATGATTGCGTTGAACGAATTCCAGTTATCAAGCAAACCTCGACACATTTTTTTTCTTTTTTCTTTTTTCGAATCTGCGGCCCCAGAAAATCAAACACTAACCAACAATGACCTTGGTGACGCCTTCACGCCGGGAATGTCGGGTCCCGGGAGGCAGAAGGGGGTCCTCCAGCCGCCACAAGACCGAAAGCCGGTGCGGGCCGGCAAGGACGGCACATCGGCGCCGCATGCACGTGGTGGGCAACACGGCCTTGGATTGGCCGCAGCGAAAAAGGCCGCCCAACGGCGACACGCAGAGAATTTACTATGATACACCCTAGTGCTTGTGAATTGAACAAAAATGTCTGTACGGAGTAACCCGACCACGTGCTCTCATGCAGATGCTTGAGCCGCGTAATTTGGTACAGTTTCCCTCGAATGACGGCAGTTCGGCGACCGATCTGCTGTCCAAGGCCCAATGAATCGAAGGTAGTCTTGAGTCGTTGCAATCTCGGATTGACTGTCCACTTCTTCGGCTATTTTTGTGCGAACTATGAGTTCACGTCGTATGTTTTGCGAAACAGTCAGCTTAGTCTGGGTTGCTAGCACTTGGAAAGATGCAGCACGTGTTAAAAGTTGTCAACGTATTCGCTCATAGGTTTTCATGTGTCGGCAAACAGTGCTGGAGGCAGACCATAACTGCACTAACAATTTCTCCAAAGTACCTAAGCTCAGCAGCAACAACAAGGTCGCATGGGAAAAGCCTTGGCAGCAGGCGGGAGAGCGCCAAGTGAAGTGAGCCTCCTAGGGCTGCCGAGAAGCGCTAGACCGCTTGGAAAAAGCTTAGCGATGCATCTTTTTCTTATCGAATCACAGCTGTCTATTGTGGGAAATAAGACACGCGACCACCATCTCTCTCTGGCTTGCGGTGCTTCTTCTCATCGCAGCGTCATCTGTGCCACCTGTTCATCAACCTGTGGAAAGCGGGAGACGAGTCGAGAAAGCACATGAACTACTGCAGCTCTGCACGAACCAACAGGTCGCCTAGCGGCTGGGTAACATCGGGTTCTCACACACTCTCTCCACTTCTCTCTCCCCGTGCTTTGGTGCTTCAGAATTCATCCCCGTGCTCCCCCAGGTGAGCGGCGTCCGGTGTGTTGCCCATGCCCAGGCCGAAAAGACCCAATGGGTGTATGTGCTCCGTAGGGAATCGCCAAACTCCTCCCCCTCTTGCCGCATAACCGTGTCTTATCAGCATACAACCCGGTATTTGCCCGCAACTGTTATCCGGTGTGGGTTCGTTCTCCCTCGAAAGACAACCAACAGACCACTCGCCTGCCTTCAAAGAATCGCTCTGGGAGCCGTAGGTGACTCGTGAGAGAGGGGAGAGGGACCCATAGAATCCTTTCGATTATGTTGCATCGGGGCTGGCTGCCCATTATTGGGTGAACCCGGGTCCCGTCCGCCGGGGAACAAGGTAGGGTGGGACGGGACACCCGAGGCATTCCCAAGGTTTATCTCGCTCTTTTTTGTCTGTCACAAACACTTACTCACCACAGAAGGAAAGCAACCAACAGCAGAGCTGCTTCCGAGGGCGTGTGGTAAGTGGGGGGGTAGAAGAGACACCGTAATTGAAGCAACATGAGAGAAGAGAGGCCCCTCTGGTTGGCAGATTGTGCTGTGGCTGGCCCGACGGGCTTGTGATCGTCCGAATAAATACCATGTTGATTTCCCCTTGCGCTTCTTGACTCGTCGCGCCTATTCTTTTTAACCTTTGCGCGCCGCTTCGCACAACCGCTCACTTATCCCCCCTCACGCACACACACAATCTTGTCTGTGCCGTCATCTTTTCGATTGTTCGCTTCGTTCTGTCGCAGTGTCGCAGTGTCGCAGTGTCGTAAGGGTCTTTCTCCCTTCGACACGCTGAGCGCAGCTTTGATCACTTACACGAGAAAAAGAGCCGCAACAATGCTCAACTTCCGAAGAAAGAAGTCGGCAGAGTCCGAGGCAACGGCGCAAGAGGCCGTCGCCGTCGACGATGCGCCCCGCCAACCGTTCCGGAAGGCCATTGTGCCCGTCATTGCCTGCGGCGCCGGTCTTTTCTCCGACGGCTACATCAATAACGTGAGCGCAACCGCATTCTGCATGCCATCTTGTAGAAACGATTATTGACGCGGGACATAGGTCATCGGATCCGTCACCACGATCCTCGCGCTGCAGTACGGCGACCTCTACAAGAACTCCAACGCCAAGAAGTACGTCGGCGACATCGCATTTGCCGGCACCGTCGTTGGACAGCTCGCATTCGGCTGGCTGGCTGACCACTGGTCGCGAACCAACTCGCTGCTCGTTTCGACCGTCATCCTACTCGTCTTCACTGCGCTCGCCGCCGGATCCTATTACAAGGGTGACGATATTGGCATGTTCAACATCCTGGCCGCATGGCGATTCTTTGTAGGTCTGAACCAGCCTGGCGCTTCTTGCTTCGTTGCCAAATTCGGCTCAAAGTGCTTGGGAAAAGCGCACGCGCTCGAAAGGAAGCCCAATTGTTAACGTCATCGCGATGACTTTTAGGTCGGCATCGGCATTGGAGGAGAGTACCCCGCGGGTAGCGTCGGCGCAGCAGAGTCCACCGGCGAGCTAAAGTCGGGCTCGAGAAACTTGTGGTTCATCATGTTCACGAACACCATGATTGATTGGGTATGTATCTCGCCATCTTCTTACTGTCTTACTGTCAATTGCATGTTTGCTAACATTGTGAACTAGGGTTTCGTTATTGGCGGTTTGTTCTTCAGCCTTTTGATCTTTGTGTCTTCGATACTGACACTAGAGCATAGCATTTGTGCCATACGTTGTCGCAGCCGCTTGCCACAATGGTCACTACAGCACCATCTGGCGTACCAGCTTGGGCATCGGTGTCGTATTCCCCATGTTCCTCTTCGCCCTCCGTCTCTTCGTCAAGGAGCCCGAAGCGTCGACCAAGAACTCCATGCGCTACGCAAAGACGCCCTACCTTCTCTCACTCAAGTTCTACGGATGGCGCCTTTTCGTCGTCAGCTTGATCTGGTTCATCTATGATGTAAGTCACGCTGAAGCGGTACTCTTTGTGGATGAACTACACTAATGTCCGACATCAGTTCTCCGCCTACTCGTTCGGAATCTACTCCTCAACAATCTTGAGCAACTTGTACGGAGAGACGGCCCCGCTCACCACCGTATTCGGCTGGAACACCGTCATCAACCTGTTCTACATCCCCGGCACTATGCTTGGTGCCCCGGCCTCCGACTGGCTTGGTCCGCGCTACGCTCTCGCCCTCGGCGTCTTCCTGCAGGCTGTCGTCGGCTTCATCATGGCCGGCGACTACTTCAACCTGTCGCAGCCCGGCATGGTTGGTGGCTTTGTCGTCGTTTATGGCATCTTCTTAGCGCTCGGCGAGTTCGGCCCCGGTAACAACATCGGCCTGCTTGCTGCAAAGACTTGCGCGACGGGCATTCGTGGCAAGTACTACGGTGTCGCCGCGGCTATTGGCAAGATTGGCGCTTTCGTCGGTACATGGGGTAGGTTTCAGATGGCTGATGAAAGTAAAACTCATGAGAGACTCTCAGGCTAACATGTTCAACTTAGTCTTCCCGTACATCCAAGCAGCCGGTGGTGACAACGCCGTCGCCTCCGCTCAGTACCCCTTCTGGGTATCTTCTTCGCTTTGCGTCCTGTCCGCCGCCCTTGCGATCTTCTGCCTGCCTCACATCGGCCAGGACACGATTGCGCTCGAGGATGCGCGCTACCGCGCTTACTTGGAAGCAAACGGCTACGATACCCGCCAGCTCGGCATGAAGAGGGGCGAGAGCTTCGAGAACACCGATGCTGAGATTCCTGCCGAGGGTCTGGCTGAGACTACCAAGGGCGAGAAGGTGACGGCTTAGAGGCACTCGAACTTGAACTCCATTGCTGTCAACCAAGAGAGTTACATGTGAAACTTGCCATTACACGATGGCTGGCGAGTGTTGATATTTCTGTGATGAGTGTATGTAGAGATATGTGGGATGGGACAAGATCTGAAGAGCCGCGATGATACCACTTGCGAATTAAACCTGTCCATAATATCTATTGAATAATGTCAATCCTATCGCCTGAACTTCTCTGCTGCCCAGGAAGCGGCCTTCTCCAGTGTACTAGGATACTTGCTCCCGTCATCTTCCAGCCTGTTTGTAACGAGATCCATCGCGTGAAGCTCTACCCGCCGTGTCTTGGCATAGATTTTGTAGCTCAAAATGTTGACAAGATAGATGGCAACGCCAATGTACGAGGTCATGAAAGTAGACACAGTGAACTTTGGGATGAAGGCATTGTAACCTGTTATGGGTGTCAGAAAGATCGCCCAAGTAGCCTTCATGTAAGCAATTAGGATGACGTAGACTTACCATTGAAAAGGACAACCAGTATGGTCACAATGAGAGCAAAGTATGAGCCATACGGCTGCAACGGCCCACGATACGGCATCAAGCTCCTCGGGATACCCTGCGTTTTCATGCCTCTAGTGAAGCAGATGTAACTGGTCAAGACACTCACCCAGTTGAGGGTGCCAAACACCGTGACCAGACTGACGAGATACCCAAATACTTGGGAGGAACTCTTTGCGGCGTTCATGTAAGCAAGCGCCGCAAACACACTCGTAGCCGCGACCCCGTAAAGCGGCACCCCCTTTCCAGACGTCCGCATAAACAACCCCGGCGCCTGACCATCCCGCGCCAGGCCAAAGAGCGTACGAGACCCGATATAGATATCCGAGTTGGCAGCGCTCAGGACAAAGACAAGCAGGCAGCCGTTGACGACGTGCGGAAATACCGGGATCTTGGCGATTTGCACCGCAACAACAAACGGACTCGCCGCGGCCCCGGTACTCTTCTTCGTCCCGCCGATAAGCATGTCATTGGTATACGGCACCGACATCCCCAGCACCAGCGCGCCCAAGACGTAAAAGAAGACGATGCGCCATAGCGTCTGGCGTACGGCCTTGCGGATCGTCCGGCGCGGGTTCGGCGCCTCACCAAAGGCGACTCCAACGACTTCGGTGCCGGTGTAAGCGAAGCAGGCCTGGACTGTTGCAGCCCAGAAGCCGAGGAAGCGGCCTGTTGGTCCCTCGACGAGGTAGGAGCCGAAGGCGCCAGGGTTGTGCCAGTATTCGAAGCCGATTGTTTCGTGGGAAGGTTGTCCGCCCATGGAGATTACGAAGCAGGTTAGGATGAGGGTAACGATGACGAGGAGCTTTACGGCGGACATCCAGAATTCTGCTTCGCCGAAGAAGGAGACGTGTAAGATCTGGTGGTTTGTTAGCATACGAATCGATAATTGTTGCCTGGTTGTTTGATTCACATTGACAGCAATAATGGCTATGGTGAAAGTTGTCACGAAAATGGCGACGTTGAGGTCTGGTCTCCAATATTGTATGATGATGCCGGCTGCCGTGAGATTGTTGGGGAGGACGATAGCGTATTTCAAGAAATAGTTCCACCCCGTGGCATACCTGTTTTCCACGTGTAAGTCACCCCGTTCAAGAACAGAAGTTCATGTTAGCAGTATGGTCCTAGTCTTACCCCAAAGCCGGATCAACAAAACGTGTAGCGTATCCCGCAAACCCCTTGTCCGAAGGCAGCACTGTCGCCATCTCCCCCACGGCCGTCATGATGAAGAAGACGACCGCGCCGATGAGGGTATACGCGATCAGTAGGCTCGCGGGACCGCCCCTGACGAGACCCGTGCCCGAGCCGATGATGAGCCCGGTTCCGATAGCGCCGGCGACAGCGATCATGGAGACGTGGCGTTCCTTGAACTCCCGTTTGAGTTGTTGTTGTTCGCCTGTCGTCTCTGTGGAAGTCCCCTCGACGTTGGAGGTAGACGGCTCCATGTCAGAGGGCTCTGCTCCTGTGCCGACGACATCGTCGGCGGTTTTGCCATATTTGCTGCTTAGACTGTCGCCGCTCATTGTATAATAAGGCGTGCAATCTAACCGCAAGGATCCGACGTATCAAGCGTTGCGACTTCTCAATTATAAGCAGTTGAAGCAGTTGGAAAGATGTTCATGAACGACAATGATACCCAATAGTCGGTTTTCGTCGCCGGGCTACAGTTCTTTATAGCTTGCGTGCCAGTGAGATAAGGAAAGAGACTAGATGCAATCCCTTTCCGGACTTATCTCGCAATACATCTTCTCGGCGTAGCGATGGTCAAGGTCAAGAAGAGTATGGAAGTCGTTTCCCGTACGGATTGTCCAGAGTTGTCTAATCTGGAACCTGGGGAACCGATAAGGACTAATACAATGTCTCGATAATAATTTACAGACTAAGGTCGTTGGTGTGGAGCGAGATTGCACCAACATGCGGGGAAAGGGGCCTCTTATCAACCCGCGACCCGCAAATGGAGGTCAAAGTCCGCGCTGTCAAATTGACGATCGTGGATCCTTGGGGTGACCCTGTAACGACATCAGATGATTCGACATCGGCTCAATACATAGGTCACAAAGATGACATATTCAACGCTGGTCATAGTCTATTTTTCCAGGAAAGAGAAGTTTCGGGGCTGAACTTACGGCTCGGCGGAATATACTGTCAGGATTGCCCCGCTCACTTGGCGCTCCAAGATCCTGATCATTCGCCAGGTACTAAAGACGGACTTCCACCTCCATGAGCTGGCGTTACCATTGATACGTCAATATTCTCATACGCGTCTAGTTCCATGGAGTCATATCGGGTCATCGACGAATCGCCGAAAAATAACTCTGGATGTTGGCGCCGATATAGGAACATGAAGAGACGATAAAAGCTGGCAGGGTCAGGACGGAGAGCCGAGTCTATCTCTGTACCTCGATCTCATCAAACTTATCTCTTCCCCTATATAACCCACTCAGACTCATCATGTCGCCTAGTGCTGTTCAAGAACATGTGGACGATGTCTCAACCTCGATCAAATCATCCCCTCAACCTCCCTCGGAAGCCGACTTCTCCACCTTCCGGTCTCTAGTCCCTCTTCTGGCCGACAAGAGCCTCACCTACCTCAATGCCTCCTACCAACCCCCCTCAAACCTGATCATCCACGGTGCCATCGCCAAGTTCACCTCCGATGCCCTCTACAACCCTCATCCAAAGCCCCAATGGCAAAATGCCGTCCAAAAGACTCGTGCTCTAGTCGGCCGCTACATCAACGCCGACCCAAGCTCTCTAGCTTTCACCCGTGACACAACGGAGGCACTAGGATGCTTCATACGAAGCCTGAAGTTCGAGCCCGGTGACAACGTCGTCGTCCTAGACACAGAGCACCCAAACCACGTCTACGGATGGATGGCCTTGCACAAAGCCGGTCTCGAGATCCGACAGGTGCCGACCATCTCCATCGCGGAAGAGACCGGGCATGTCACTGCAGCTAACGCCGCAACCTTTGCACCCTATGTCGATGAGCGCACCAGGGCCATTGGCCTCAGCTCCATCATGTTTCACAGCGGCCAGTGGAACGACGTGGCCGACATCTGCGCAACATACAGACCACGCGGCATTCACGTCCTCGCAGACCTCACACAGCAGGTCGGCTTCGCAGAAGTGGACGTCCAAGCTCTGGGGGTTTCTGCAGCGGCCTTTAGTCTGCACAAGGGATTGAACTGCCCGACGGGCTTCGCAGTGCTCTACGTCAATCCTGAGTTCATCGCCGAGACTGACCCTACTCCGCCCATCGTCGGCTACGGGGCCGTCAGCAATGTGCGAGCCGATCTGTTGGTTCCTTCAGAAGAGGTGGTATATCACCCCTCGGCTCGCCGGTATGAGCATCTGAACTTGAGCTTGATCAGCGCCGCGGCTGCAAAGGCGTTTTTGACGGTTTATCTGGATTCCATGGGCCCCGGGCGTGTGCAGGAGCACCTCTACCGACTTGGCGATGTGTTGAGAGAAAAGTGCCGTAGTCTTGGAGTGAGAGTAGTCGGCCCTTTGGCCCGCAAGGATCACGCGCCTCATTTGTACATTTTGGATTTGCACGACCCGAGATGGATGGATCTCTTGAAGGAGAGTGGTGTTCTTGTTACGCCCTATCGTCTGGGCATCAGAGTTTCTTTTGGTTTCTACAACAACACCTCAGATGTCGAGAAGCTTGCTGGCGTCCTAAAGGCAGGATTAGAGGCGGGCCTTCCTTTGCCCTGAGGGATTTCAGAGATAGAGGATGTAGTTCATGGCTCGTAATAGAATGATGACACTCCATACTGTTGAAACTCACTCGAATTCGTTATGTCTAGAATCGTCAAAGCCCCTTGCCAATGGTCTTGAGACTTGAAAGGCAGTCAGTGCAGTCTTCTGCCCCTCGACCGAAATGCTCAAATTGTAGAGGACTATTTCCTGAGGTCTGGCATGGCTTTAGACCGTATTCTTTTTCTCCACATAAATAAAGTGGATGGTGAAAAGCTGCAACAGCATCTCACATCTTACCTCGTGTCAATCTATCTCTCGCCTGGTGGGCCAACGTCCAGGCAGATGAACATTCGTCCAAAACATGCAACAAGTACTGAGCTTCTTCCGGCGTGCCGAATAACGACAGCGCCCTCACCGCTTGCATGACTCCGTAGATCATCATCAGAGGGCTATGCCCAAGCCCGTACTGGCTGCGGTATTTCCGCACGATGTGTGCAATGTCTTCCGCAGACGACAAGCAGTCCTTGCGGGCGTTGTCCTTCAGAGCTGCGACGTTATGAGACACCGCTTGCTCGAAGTTTAGCGCAATGCGGACGCTATGAAAGAGCAGACTGACGGGGAACAGGATTTCAGCACCATCTTTCACGATAAATCGGCAGAAGGGGGAGTGGAAAGGGAATCGAACTAACTGAAGTGCTGCCACGCTTGGGATCAGCAGGGTGCTTGGTGGTTCCCATCTGTTCCATTTCGCACAGTCTGGCAATGCTTCATACCAGCTGCACAGCTCAAAATTGAGGCTATCAATACACGACTGGCGACCGATGCCCTCCAGACTGCTCTTGGTAGAGAACAACTTTGAGAGCATCTTCTCGATAACCTTGGAAAGCCGGATCTGCTCCTTGAAACATGGGATGAGGGGGTTGACAGCGCCAAAGCCTCCGTCATAATCTGAAAACCCGGCAGGGAGCCAAGGCTTCATCTCTGGAAAGTCTCTGATCGGTTGTCAATACATGGTGAGGTAGAATTTCCGATGGGTACATCTTGAACTTACGGAAGCCTGTTGGTGGTTTCAACTTCTGCGTCATCATAAAACAGATAGACTGATCGACCAAGGATCAGACTGATCAATTTATCGGAAGTGTAGCATCCCCAAAAGATGCGTCTGCGGATCTCCAAGTCTTCCTCCGTAGCTAGTGACGCATCGTGGGATACCCAATGTTTCGGGTCCCTTTGAAAACCCATGTCTTGTGCCATGCGAAACGCGATTCCTAAACGCACCCATATTCAACATCACGTATCAACGAACTGGGCGTCATCAGCAAGGACTTACCCGAGAAGCCCCATCCCTTTGAGAGATTTCCTCTTCCAATCTCGTAAAATGCCAGGCAGAGGAAGCCCTGTACAGTAACGATGGAAGGTTTCGTGAAGCCGGAGACAATGAGTATGCTCTCAGCAGCGGAGAAGAACTGCTCACTCGCATCTCGGTGGCGCTTCTCTGGTGACATGAGTGTACCCAGGGCACAGATAGACAGGAGCAAAGCCGATGACCAATACTTGCCGTGAACCCGGTCAACAAAGTGGTCCCTCAAGAAGGCTTCTCGGTAAATGAACATGAAGTGCGGGTACTGCCATTTGAAGAACTGCATCAATGCGTCATCAACCAGCTCGTCGTGTAAGTTGATCCCGAAATGCTCCGCCACATGCTCAAAATTTGAGTCGGGGCCGACGACATAGTTTGCAGAAAGCTCGCGTGAGGGTGAGACGTTGCCCCGTGCTGGCATACCGAGATGGGCGCGATAGATACTCGTCGCACCATGGTATATGAGCGAACCCTTAAGGTCGACCTGGAGATTCTCACTGCTGCCTCGATTCGGCACGAGATTTGTCTCTTCGCTCACGTTCACTACTGAAGCTGGTTCCGGGGTTGAGAGGTGATCCCCGAAGGAGACGGTCTTTAGCAGGCTGTCCCGCTCCGGGCTTGGCGCGGCTTGGAGCTTGCCAATGAACGATTCCAGCCATGCGACTCTGGTCTCTAAGCTGACAACATATTCGTGCGTCGCGGGCCGCCGTTTACGGTCGACCTCTCGATACTCGCAAGTCTGTTGAGCACTTGCGCAGTTTTGGCATGGCTCCGTGCGTGAGCATTTTAACTATGAGCGCGAAACGCCGAGTCAGTGAAGTTACGACTGCCCAAGATGCGAGGGTTCAAGATGCCTTTCGGTATTGGCATCTCTTGCATCTATAGCTAATGTCAGTACTCGTCTTCATATTGTCTCTCGTCATCGAGGTTCAGAGTCTCACGAGATTCTCTTGGCAGGCTCTGATGGCATGATGCCCTTATCACGGTCATTTCTTCTTCCGACGATGAGTCCTGGAACTAAGGTACTGGCGGAGTACTCCGCAGCATAACCTAAACCCGAAGGCTAACAGTGGTAGTAGTCCTCCTGATAGCGCTTAGTCACTACCTTGGGTCGCCAATGGGAGTATGTGTCGCACTGAACCACTTACCGAACTCCAAAGTAAGGTTCGCGGCATCAAGAACTAAACTAGGGGGCCCCAGCAAAATGGTAAAGAGGGGCTAGTTTCGGGGAGCAATGTCAACCTTCGTCGCAATACCCCCCCTTTCGCACTCAGCTACCTCTCATTTGTGTCTTCACGATGTCTCGGTATCGGTCTCGCTTTCCAAACGATGAATTCAATTGAAACCGAAGAGGAAATACAATATAAGAGACCATGGGCAGGACTCGTATTTCGCACAGGAGGATGGCCTTCTGCTACAACTCTCCTTCATACGTGATTCTGTTTTCCAGCGACCATCCTTTTACATTCTCTTTGTTCAGTTCCAGCCTGAGCCCGTCATGAGGCGTGTTGAAATCACGGCGCCCGGTGTTGTGTCGTGGGTCGACCGCCCGAAGCCCGAAGCTGGCCCTAAAGACGTTCTCCTCAAAATCAAAGCCTGCGGTATCTGCGGCTCCGACAGCCTGTACACCGATCACGGCGGTATCCCACCCTACCAGGGCTGTACGCCCCTCGGCCACGAGCCAGCAGGAGAAGTTGCAGAAATCGGAAAGGACATTGAATCACCAGACGTTGAAGTCGGCGACCATGTCGTGGTAGACACGATGGTTTTTCAAGACGGCCTTTTGGGCTCGGGCGGTGCGCAGGGTGCGCTGTGCGAATACGTCGTCATCTACAACTACGAACCACGGAAGCACCTGAAGAAGATTCCGAAGAGCATACCCTGGCACATTGCGGCACTAAACGAGCCCATGGCGGTCGCCCTGCACGCGGTAAACAGGACGAGCCCGAAACCGGGCTGCAAGGTTGTGGTTTTTGGCGCGGGGCCCATCGGTCTGGGCGCGGTCTTGGGCTATCGTAGAAAGGGGGCGAGCCACATTGTCGTCGTGGACGTGGTCAACGCGAGGCTCGAAAAAGCTCTCAAAGTCGGTGCCGATGCTGTCGTCAACTCAGCTGAAGCTGAAGATTTGGCGGCAAAGTTGGTCGAGTTGCAAGGAGACGGAGCGACGGCACAAAATCGAGGCACTCGTCCTGGTACCGATATCTTTTTGGACGCGGCGGGCGCCCCGCCGGTCCCTGCGCAGGTGTGCAAGATGGCGAGGCGAGGCGCCACGTTTGGTGTGGTAGGAGTCCACAGAAAGCCGACGGAATTAAACTTTGCACAGTTGATCTCGACGGAATTGACGATTGTTTTCAGTGTGGGATATCCGACAGAGATTTTCGAGGTCACAGATGACATCGTCGACAACTGGGACAAGTACGCGCAGATCGTCAGCGATCAGATCCCGTTTGACCAGGCGATAGACGCGTTAGAATTGGCCAAATCAGGCAAGGCGAACAAAGTTGTCGTGGTTTTTGACTGATCTCGGGGAGATATTCCATGAGAAACAGACGATTCAGTTATCAGATCTGAAGAGTCAACAGAGGTGGTTAGATTAGCTTTCTCGCGGCTTATCTACAGTCCCGCCAACCTGGAGAGTCCGTGTCGCTAGTCTCCACCAAATCCAGACAATCAAGCAGCCCGGAAGCTTCATGGTCGGGTTGAAGTTTCTAGGCCAAAGAGTTGAGATAGGCAGATCTCGACAGTACTGTAAAGTACTTTTTACGACTACAATGCTTTACAAACGAGAAGCGACATATTTGTTCATAGTTGCAGGTTTAGCAAGTACTTGGCGTTTCGTTGAATGGCATGCAAAATCAATCTATCAGATATACTACTATCTTATAGATCCCCCATACAATGCTTCGAGTACCTACACAAAACTTCAATTGAGTTAAAGTGGTTAATGATATTGATTAAATCTATAAAAATGGTACTACATAGACAAGTTGCTCGTCCCATGACATGACCGGGCACTGGTCTTGGAGTCTCAAATCCTGTTGAGCTTGGCAACTCAAAGTCAAAGATATCCATAGCAACAAGACGTGGCTTGAATAAGTTGAGCGTGAAGGAGCTATAACTTTAGGGCCTTCAAGATGCGCTTATACCCTCTAGGTACCATGATTTATCAGGTTCGGTCTTGAGCCCAATTACTAACTTCTAGTGATCAAGGCGGGCGTTCTGTTGCCTGCGTACGTGGACTCATTTACAGACTACCACAATAACAACTTGTCTTTTTGCGGTGCTTATGATTGGTTTTGATCAAACAGAAAGCTTGAACCCTATCAGATAACGATCATTGATCTCATCGTTGTTGACCAAGTGGTGATAGTAGCTAATGCAGTAAAACTATGGGCGTGATGTATCACTTACCTCCCGGCTGAGCAAAGGTCTAACCGAGGCAAAAGTCGTGCCACTTCCAAGCGGCGGAAAAGAGAAACTTCTGAAGATTGACTTTGAATGATGTGCCTTGTATTGTAAGACCACAATGAAGAAGCGCGGGTTTCAAGAGTCCCCAGAAGTATATGTAATCATTCCCTCGGGGAAGCCTGTAGACATCGAGAAAAACCTGCTTTCAGACGATGTTCTGCTTATAGGATGGCTTACGATGGGCCAATGTCGACAACGACTGCACAGCATCTTCTCCAAGAATGGATCCGTGTCCTAGCGTTGGTAAAAGGCATTGCAAACACAATTCCGCAACTTCCAGCCAATTCAAGTTTAAACCCGCTTGTATTCGACGATTTGACTTGATACTTCAAATGATGGACCCATTCAACGTTGATAAAACTGCCTGTTTTTTTCTCCAGAAATCCAAGTCAATTAGGTTTTGCCCAGGGTATTCATGACGTATTAGCTGGACTGGTGCGATGACGGGCTTGACCCGAGAGACAACTTGCAACTCCAACCTAGTTTATTCAGCACGTTTCGAGTAAGGCGATGTTAATATTTCTATTCTATGGAATTCCTTAGATCATCTGATTGGTTCTATGGATAAAGTACATGTATGTGAAGCAACAAGATACTGTCAGACGTAGCTCGCCATTTTCTCACCACTTAAGCTTGTTTCTTGCAAGACTGTACAGAGCCTCGACGTCGTACGCGTATGGTGATCAGTTGATCACTATCGATCTTCTCAACCTTGATGAGCTGAAACTCCGCTGGATTGGTGGAAGATAAGTTGAACTGGACGCGCAGCTTTCAGACAATCGGGCTCGGTCAACCCGCCTAAATGATCATCAGAACAACTTCATCACCAGCTCATCCAGACGAATAAGATCGCAAAATTGCGGTCTGGCTTCTATACAGGTACAAGCCGAACGTCCCCACCCTGAGTCTATTTCTGTCATACCAGATTGATGCTTTACGCAATTTTGGTTTTTGTATCCAGCTTGACTTACTTACTCCTCCCTCTCCCGCCTTTTTTTTTAGCGAGGCGAAGCTTCAGTGATGTCTTGGCATATTGCGTGGACCCCACGTAGAGATCAGCAAACGACGACAATTGTTCGGAATAGCCCAACGTGCTTTCTCTCCCTGGGATTAAAAGTCTAGAAGTCCAAAAGTTCGTTCGATCATAACCAGAGTTTGAAGCTTATTCGACCTCAAAGTTTCCAGTGGGCCTTGTGTTGACTTTTGACTGTTGGTCGAAATTTCTTTTGACAAAGTGCCAAGATGCAAGCGCATCGAGAGGCCCTAAATTTAGCATCGCAGTACCCGCACCTCCTCTCAGCTGGCCGGGACATGGAGACACCGCGAAGCTTTGGAACCTTTCTAGGCAAAAGCAGAGCCACCCCGCTTCGATGCTGCTCCGCGTGTCTCCCTACGAATAGAATTACCTATGTAGTTGCGAGAAAAGTTGGGGATAGCGTTGAGTGTTGCGTGGAGTTGACGAAGGCTGGCGGAGACTAAGAATCAGCGAACAATCAGCCCGGCGAAAGAAAGCATCCGTCAATGGTCAGATTCCTGCGCCGATGCTGATCCCAGTGGCAGGACGTGGTGTCGATCATCCGCAGCCCAGCGTCATTTGGGGGCACTGAATGGTAAGCTGGTACGGCTGGCAGGGAACACCCCCTTCAAGCTTTGAGAACATGACTGGACGAACCGTAAACATCGAAATACTGGATTGACTACGTTCAAGGCTCTCCCTCTCCGACACTATGCGCCAAGTAGAGATGTGAAACACGACAGCTCATCTTCGGATCTTTTCTTGGGATCCTTGGATAGCGTTAGGTTGGTGATCCATTCGGAAAGGCGCCCTTACGGGACGCTTGTCGGAATGCGTGTTTTTTATGGTTGCGCGAGCCTGAGAGGCGGGCTGGTGCGTGTCGCCGTGGCTCTGCTGTGCTTGGCGGGGATGTGCCGGCGGCGAATTTTTTTCATCCTAAACTTTTACGTACGGCTACCTGTAGCGATTACTTTACCTCTTTGTAAGTAAGTGAAGTACATTGAATTAGCAGATAATCAAAATATAAAGGTTTAATCGACGGGGTATTGGGTCTTGGCAAGATCCACGCCCGCCAGCTTCTGGAAGAGACGAGATGTCCAAGTTTAGTAACGGATCTTGCTTCGCATGCTCGATGTCGAGAAGGCAAAACTCACGCGTAAACAGCTATGTTCCTCACCTTGGCGAATTGTATTCCATTTGTTAACGAGAGGCACAGAAGTAACGCAATTGTCTTGCACCCGTAATACGCATTTACCTCAGGCATTTTGTTGGTTCGTTATTATAGCGTCACTTCAGTTGTTTGGGGATGCTTGGCTGCTCGCCCGGCTGTCGGCCGGCATTGACCTTGCCTAAGCGGTCATGTCCGTAATTATTATGCTGTCACTTGTAGCACGCGACACTTATCCGTCTTGGAGTCGGCAAATTGTGACTGTTCACCTGCTCACAAGGAGCCCTAGTCGTATCATATTAAGCTTTCCTGGGGATTCGGGGACAGCGGAGTAGAATAAACACGATATAGGGCTCTGACGGAGCAATCTGACAACTAACAAGCACGGAAAGGCCCCCAAGCAGCACTTGCCGAGAGCTCGACTTTAGGTAATTAGCGCGTGTTCAATTTAGACTTGTTCAGTGGGCTTTAGCAGGCTGGTCACACAATGAAAAACTACCGTCGAATAATGCCCGGGATGTTGAGTCGCCAATTGAGGCTGGGGCAGCTAGGGGGCTTCTTGGCTTCCCTCATCGAAATCCACTTTCGAATAGCTGCAATCTGAGTGGAAGCTGCGGAGATGGAGAACTGCCAGCGCCAAGGGACCAACCAAGACCCAAGCCTCTGCGTGACGATGCGCGGTCGCTGCCCGAGACACGGTCATGTTTTTCGTACGTGGTCAGTCTGTTTATTCTGCCGTTGATCGACTCTAAGTTATTGATCCATGGATCCTCGCCCCTGGGAGGAGAGTCGTTCGAAACATGAGTATATATCCGGCATCATCCCGCTCTACATCCTGGATTCGCATTAGCATTCCGATACCATCAACAATCACAACATCATCTCATTGAGCATACTTTTCAACTAGTTTCAGCCCTAAATCGACTTTGGTCGCCCAAAAAAACAATTACAACAACCAAAATGCACTTCAACCGCGTTGCCTTGTCCCTTGCCGCCGTCGCCTTCGTCCAGGCCGACCTCCAGCTCGACAACGATGACATTCCCACCCAGTGCCAGGCCGTCTGCCGTCCCATCTACGACCTCGGCCAAGCCTGCGAGGTGAATGACGATCTGGTCAGAGATGACCTGACCGAGGACCGTCTGGAGGCTCAGTGCGTCTGCACAAACAACAGCATCAACGTCTCCCAGTATGCCGCACTCTGCGCAAGCTGCATGGACCAGAACGTCCGTGACCGAGATGACCTGGATGGTAAGCAGATAAGCCACAACACATCATCATTCAATCTCTTCTTGTACTGACATATATCGACCCAGACATCAACGACATCCTGAGAACCTGCGGCTTCGCCAGCACCTCCTACGCCTCCACCGCATCCTACGCATCTACAACCCCGTCCGTCTCAGCGGCCCGCCCCACTGCGTCGGCCCAGCTCACCACCACCATCACCCCCGGCGCCGTCGGCGGCGGGTCCTCTTCCCCGACTCAGACCTCCGCATCCGGATCCGGCAGCAACAGTGGCGGCAGCAGCACCACCCCGACTACGGCGGGCAGCCAAACCACCCAGACCCCCAACGCTGCGGGCATTGTGTCGCCTCAAGGTCTCGGTCTGATTGGCGCCGCCGCCGTTGGCGCTTTCTTCTTGTAAATTTGGGGATGAGGGGTTTCTTGATGAATACTTCAGCTTTTACGAACATCTAACAGGGAATGAAATCTGTGTTTATGGATTTGGATTGCATTTTGAGGCGCTATGGCACATATACCTTAGCATTTACTGTCGTTTCAACTACTTAGTTCTTTCGAGGAGTCTGATTCCTCTCATGGGACATAATCTCGAAGGCTTATCGGATAGAATTATCGATCCCTGCAATCTTTTCAGCCCGCCAGCTGCATCATTAACTTGATTTGGGATCGCATATGTGAAGGCTCACAGATTCGCTGTCGTGACGTTCATCTGTTTTTGCTCGACTTGTGATCCACTTTGACTCGGCAGGGTGTAAAGATCGATTTACAGAAGGACTGAGTGCTAATGAAGTGTACGCATAATCATTTCTGATTCCCTCATAATTACACATAAGAATAAGGTACTTCGCATAGATTGGGATGCTCCCAGTGAACTGATATTCTTATGAGGTATTACTTGCAATGCCCATAGCTTAACGCGGTGCATGTCGATTAGACTACCGGTTGAATTGAGTTGCCATGTCGGAAGGATTTGATATCAGTAAGGTCCATCTGTATTTACCCTTGTCGTATATTCTTCATTCGCAGACGGTACCCGGAATTTCGTCTTGATGGCGTTGATGTTTCCAAGCTTCGAATTTTAATGCAGAACTGATCGATACTCCCACGCCCAAACAGTCTATATCTCCCCCTCATTCGTCTGAAATTGTCAGTCACGGGTACTCTTGATCGTCTGCAGACTATCTGAACTTACATCCGGAGCATCCTCAATTTCGGGCAGCATCTTCTCGCTGCCAATGCAAAGCCAAGAATCAAACGGGCCACGGTAATTAACAGCATACGGGTCGTAAACCAGATTGTCTAGCAAGCAAAGGTCCTTAGACCTAGGGCCTGCCTTGACGTAGACGGCATACTTGCACTCTTTGCCGTTCGAGAGCGGCTGCTGGCACCTATCCTGGCACTCGTAGACACCCTTGAGAATCTCGGCCTGAGTGTTCAGCGTGCGCTTTTCGATCTCGATCCTGTCGACGTAGCTGTCGTACCAGCATCGCGCTTGGCCTCGGGCCCTCGGGATGCGATTGAATCGAGCGAATACTGTCGGTTCCGGGGCGTATGTCGTACATGAGAGGGTTGCGTTTGGCTTTACACCAGGGATCTCGGTGGGCGTTACTGTTGCGCACCAGGTCGTGGTGGGAAACACCTTCTGGGTGGGATTGGGTTTGAGGGGTGTGAAGGGGAGCGGGTCAACGGGGATTTGGGCCACGCAGGCGAGAGGTAGGAGCCAGTAGATAATTGTCCACTTCATTGTTGCTGTTGTGTCTCCGGGAATCCGTACCTGGGCTCTTGGTTGAGATTGTGTTTTTTCGGAAGAGGTATCACGCGCGTGTAGGGGAACGAAGATGTCGAAGGCAGGATGGGAAGGGTGCTTGGCATCAAGCAGTAGAGTGGGCTGCTTCTCAACTCACCTATTCGATACCTCGATGGCCGAAAGAAAGTCTGACTCGACGTCCTGCGGACTGTCAGGCTGGTCAAGATTGCGGGAGACGAACATTTAATCAGTAATGGGCGCGCCGAACTCAGAGGGGTCGCCGAACAACCTGCGCTTTGTCTGAACCCCGAGTCTTCAGGAAAGACAATGGTGTCGTAACTTCCAGCCATAGTGATAGACCATAAGTGGATTTCCTATACTTCTGCTTAGAAAACAAGGGTGTGCTTTCACAAGACACTATTCAAGGTTATGTAGTTGAGATTTGACGTGTCGGGCGCTACTTAGTCAGATGTGTCAGTGTCAACTCGACATCATATGAACATGGATTGAATACATCGACGTACCAGAGTATCTGATCGTGAAAAGCCAAGTTCAAAACCACCAGCGCTTACAAACCATACAGCGTTCATCCCAAATCGCACGTCATAGGCTTGCATGGAATTAGCTGGAGCGGGGTCACTCATCTGACATGGAATGGCCCCTCTTCCAAAGTCCCAAGTTGAGGCCACGACTCTCGCGCCTCGAACCAAAACACCAAGATCTAACAGACAAATTCCGAACCAAATCCTTTGAATGGAACTAGAGATCAAGGAAACATGGTCAATCTTCCACATCCATTCAGCGAGATCCCTCATCTCCAGTTGACCTATGACCGGCCGGTAGATATTGAGCAGCTGCATCGACTTCCTGAACAGGAGGGGACCAAGAAGGGGGCCATATATATCGCCCGCGATGACTGCAACTCTGGCCTAGCTTTCGGGGGTAACAAGGTGCGAAAGTTAGAGTACGTTTTGGCGGACGCGATCGATCAAGGTGCGGATACGATAGTTACGACTGGCGGGACACAGTCGAACCACATGCGCCAGACCGCTGCGGCGGCGGCAAAGCTAGGGTTGAAAGTGAGTTTGCGCCTCCTCAAACAGCGCAAGTATCCTCTGACAGATAGAAAGGTTGCTCTCTTCCCCGTTACTGCGGTTTCATCAAAGGATCTAGAGTACAAGTACGCTGGCAACATCCAGCTCAACTCCATTCTCGGCGCCGAGACCTTCCCGCCAAACACGAGCAAAGAAGACGTCGTCGCCGCCCTCGAGAGCCGCGGGCAGAAGCCCTACCTGATCCCCGCAGGCGCAAGCACACACCCCTTCGGCGGCCTAGGCTACGCAAGGTGGGCCTTTGAGCTCCTCGAGTGGGAAGACAAGCATCAGATAAGTATCGGGAACATCGTACTCGCAGTCGGCTCCGGCTCGACTCTGGGCGGTCTTGTCACCGGCTTCAAGCTCGCGCAGCAGGTCGGCCGTGATGGTGCGCAGAAGCGACTGGTCGGGTACTCGATCCTGAGGAAGCCTGAGGAGGATGTGGCACAGTTGGTGCTGGACATTGCGAGGACCACGGCAGAGAAGATTGGGCTGGATCCCAAGTTGATCACGAGAGACGACTTTGAGATCGATTACGAGTACCTTGGGGGCTCGTACGGCCACCTTGATGAGCGAACGGCGGAGGGCATCAAGACATTGGCTCGGACGGAGGGGATCCTTACTGATCCGGTTTATACTGGCAAGGCGTTTACTGGGCTGCTGCACACTGCCAAGGCGGGAGGGTTTGATGGGAAGGCGACGCTGTTTTTGCACACTGGTGGACAAGCTGCTCTGAGTGCGTACCCGAAACTGATGCAGTGATGTTTCGTGCTCTTCAAATGCTGTCAGAACGTCATAGAGTGAGAGTGAGACTAGAGATGATGGATCTTTTGGGAAGGGTTTTCAATATTCTAAGTGGTATCTTTAGACAAAGGAAAAAACATGCATATACGTCCTCGCTCGTTCAAGGCATCCAACTCATTCAACCTCCCTCCATCTCTTCTCCAAAGTTCCAATAACATGCGTCCGTGATCCCGACCCATACTCTGCCATGATAGAGTTTGCCTGCTTGCTATACGAGGCCCCCTGAGCCTCAAAGTGATTGCTGAAACCGAATCCAACTCCAGGCATACTATACACCCCCTGACTCGGCATAACGGCCTCCTTGGCCTGCCCCATGGCCCGGCTCGTCGAACTCGCAACATTCAACACCCGCTGCTGCCCCAGCGCCATCTGCGCCTCCATAATCATCTGCCGGATCGTAGGCACCGTCTCGACATAAACGGCCCGACGGGCCTTGGACACCCGGAGCAGCTCAGACGGATCGTTACGGGCACAAGCCTGGGCGTAGAGGTTGCGCATGCGCGGGCTGTACATCTCGCACATGAGGCTCGCGGCTACGGTGACGCCCTTGAGCGGCATGGCGGTCGCCAGTGTGGTGCCGCGGATGGACTCGTGGTAGCACGACGGGCAAATCGTGCAGTCCTGCCACCCGTACCATCGCCTGTCGCGGAAGTCCTCGTCGCGCGGGCAGAGGGGCAGGCTGGCGAACTCGAGTGCGTACGACTCGAGCGGCTGGGTATCGGCCGTAAAGTGGCACTCTAGAAGCTTCGTCATGTAAGACGCGAAGCGCGGGTTCGCGGGGTTAAAGCAGCACAGAAGCGTCGTGCCGGAAGATACGCCGCACTTCAGCACTAGAGAGGAGCTCAGGCCGAGGGGCTCGGCGACGTTGGCGACGCAGGCGGCGCAGATGCCGAACTCGGCCGGATGGGAGGGGAACGTGTACCATGTCCCATCTGTGATGCCCTGCGGGCTGCAAAATTCCTCGTTGCAGGCGGCGTCGAGGGCCTTCCAGAAGATGGAGTACTGCTTGGCCTCGGTGGCGCAGGACATTGCGATGCCAATGTTGAAGTGGCCCAGCGCGCAGTAGACAAGGCTGCCGTACCGCGAGGCGAGGTTCGTGCCGGCGTCGCACCATTTTCCTTCCTCACCGGTGCCGGCCACGAAGTCGCAGTAGCACGCGGCGCAGACGAGGACGCCGTCGTGGCCCGCGGCCGTGGGCGTGAACCACTTACGAGAGGTGACGGTAACCTTTTGGCGCTTGGCGCAAGGGGGGAGGTTCATCCTGGCGAGCGCTTCCTTGGTGAAGCCAGGCCAGTCGTCCTTGACGGCCGCCTCTTTGTAAATGTTCTGGATATAGCGGGTGGAGAGGTCGCAGGACCAGACATCGTTAGTGGCTTGTCCAGTGGCCTGCTCAAAGTTGGCTGCGAAGCGGTAAGGCTGGATATGGTCCTCGAAGCAGGCCTGGCAGACAACCATGTTGGGTACGGCATTGTTCTTTGGACGATACCACTTGGCGCCTTCGCTTCCCTTGGCTCCATCGGCGCCCCTGCAGTCCGGAACAGCGCTCCTATGGAGGAGGAAGCTGACAAGGTCCTCGATGCGTCCCGTGGCGAGGGTGTTGCGGAGCAGGTGATCCTTGACGCGGGGCTTGCTGAAGCGGCAGACCCGCGGCTTGTTGTCGTCACAGATCTTGCCCCTGAAGTCGTGCTCGAAGCGGGTTCCGACAAGGTGGTCCTCGTAGCACTTTGAGCAGATGGAGAAGTCGGGGGCGGTAGGGTGCGTGTACCATGTCGTGCAAAAGGTGACGGGGCTGTCGATGCAGGCGACAACGCCGCGTCCTCGCTTTCTGCTGGGCGGACTGGCCCTTCGAGAGTTAGCACGAGGTCTGGTGGGTGACATTGTGAGTTCCTTCTTTGACTGCTGCTGCTGCTGCTGCTTTTGCGCTGGAGGCGGTCCTCGAGGGGTGAGATCCAGCGGTGTCACGGGCTCCGGAGTCGGGTTCGTGGAGGGAGGCGTGAAACACGATGTAGTGGTGCTGGCGGTGAAGTCCGGCGTGGCGAGTTCGTCTCGAGGAGTGGACGGCGCGGAGTAGATAGTAGACAGCATTGGCGAGGGTGCGAAGCGCAGGTTCTGGAGTGTCTCTTCAAGGTTGTCAAAGTCAATCACGCCAGGCCGCGGTTCAGGTGCCCCAGTCCTCTTTGCCTTTTCGGGTGGTGTCAGGACTCCATTGGGCGCACTAGCCGGAATACGAGCTGCGGCCGCCTTAATCTGTGCTGATGACAGTTGTTTTTGTTGCTGTCCAGCACCCGCGGGGAAGTAACCGGTCAACTCCCTCTGAGGCGGTGTCGGCGGAGGCGGAGGAAAGCTGGTGAGGGCGCCGGGTCCCGGGCTGCGCAGGTCGGCGACACGGCCGAGGCCGGATAAGGGAGCTTTTGGGGGCGCTGAAGAGCCGCCGGTGCCGGCTTTCGGTACTGGACTTGCGGGCGGCGGGACGTTGAAGCTGGTGTAAGAGGGGGGGCTCGGGTTTCCCGTCCACTGCTGCACCGGGGGCTGAAGTTTGTGAGAAGAGACGGGGCGAACGGGCTTCGGTGCAGCAATGGGAGTCGTCTGCCTCGCGGGCTTGGACGCCGGAGCTGGTGCTGGTGCTGGTGCCGCAGCCGGTGCTTTAGTTCCCTTGCTCTTGGAGGCCGAGCTGGATACCTTCTCGGTCTGGGGCCGCGAGCTCCGGGCCGGCTGCGGCGGGGCCTGTCGATGGGTCATGCTGCAGTCCACGGGCCGAAATGATGATCAAAATGAATTCCCCACTGCAACTGAGAAAAACTTGACGATGGCTTCACGCTCTTTTTGGTCTGGTTCGAGAGCGGGATGGGACGGTAAGGACAGGCCGCTTGGAAAAATTTCCCAACGAAAACAGCAAGAAACGCAGCGAGTATAAGAGCAGACAAGGAAAGGTCTTGCGGGAGTCATGCAACATTGGCCACCCGCTCCGGGACGACGTGCATGTTTAAAGGAAGCTTCCAAAGGGAGAAGGAGTTGATTGGCATCAACACTTCATCTCAAGAGAGCGGCGTCGAGTTGGTGCCCGATGGACGGAATGCCGGGATGTTCGTGGAGATGATCCACACCACCTCATGCCCGACTTGCAGCGATCGCCCTGGGACTGGGGGCTGGAGACCTCGGAGAGGAGACCAAGAGAGCAGAGGGCTTCCTTGACAGCTTCTCGTCATGTTCACTAGTAGACCCATTCCGACCTCGTCTTCATTTCCCAATGGCAACGGGGACCTGTTTACTGTTAGTGTTACGGAGACTCGAACAGCCGAGGACGAACACAAGGCTGTTCAGCTTTCAGGCGTCAGTGGCAGAGTGGTTCAGCCATAATTAGAGGAAGAAGAATTCTAGGCTGCATTCCAGGGCTTCCAAAGCTCGGAGATTTTTTCTTCTGGCAATGGCCTTCTTTCGCAAGGAAAAAGACGACTAGGGCTTGGACAGGGGCTTGGGCCATGGAATGCTGTGAAAGCAGGTTGCTTTGGGCCGTGGGAGTTTGATTATCGGGCGTCAAGAGTTGAGTGTTGTTGTTATTCTCGAAGCTAGCAAGGCTGGAAAGCAGGCTTTTCCCGCTCGTTTCCCCCAGTTCGTTCGTTTCCCTTGCCCTTTCAGTACTCCCATGGGATATTCTCGAGGTTGGGCTCCTCGCAGGGACACCGTTGGGATGAAAAAGTTGAGATGAACGGTCCCTTCATGAATCGCAAACTCTGCTAGTCTGACCAGTTCTCTGCTCCGCACATACCATTGCCATGACTCTGTTCAAGTTCCTCTCTTCTAAAACCTTCCAACGGTTCCCTTTCCTCTCAGCCCTTTACCTCTGCTCCTTGCTCACCTTACCCTGCCGCAGCTTCGATCAAGTGACCACGGCAACAAATATGAATGAAGCACCGAGGCTCTTTGCTCTTTACAAGATGAGGGGTTTGAGAGTTTGCGCCACTCAACACTTCATCTGTAGCACAGTCCGTTGCCGTCGCGGGAAAGCGGAAGCGATCGAGGCGAGGCAAAGCGCAAAGAAAAACATACCAAAGCGAACAGATGTCCGGCGCGGGCTCATGCACGGCGGACCGTCATCTTGGGAAGCAGGGCTAGAACTCACATGAATCCGTACCGTCTGTTAGAAGAGTGGAGGGGGGACCAAAGGATCATTTTAAATCACCATGGGAGGGATGAGGGGTCGACTCAGACGCAAAAGTACAAAACTCGCGGCGCCAGCGCGACAGAGTCAGACTCCCACACTTCCTTCGCGTCCACCACAAGGTGTTTTCTGTAGCACCCGGTGGCTGGCACGGCTGGCTCGCACTTTGGAGTTCGCACATGTTTTCGTCTTGTTATCTGTGTGCTTGTCTGGTCTGGACGCGCTAGGACCGTTTCTTGTCGATGAGGGTAGGGGGTAAGCCAGCTGCTTGGGGGGCTAACTTGTCGAGGAAAACCGCCCGCCGAGCGTTGTCTTCATGGGCGGTTTTGGGAATGGTGAGTCGGGTCGACCGTCACAGTCGCATTGCATTCCTCGGGTGAGGTAGGCGAGCATCCCGAAAGTATGGGCACCTCGCCGTTTGCTCGCATTCCAGTTGGACAGGTCAATCTCTGGATATCATCTCTTACTTAGTCTTTTCCTTCGTTCACTTTGATGCTTCAACTCGTCCAGCGCAACTGATTCCTCATATTGGTCGAGAACCACGAACCAACACCGTCATGATCCTTGCCCCTAAAACCACGGTTCCATGGTGTAGATTGCTTGGACGTGCCAAAGCGGCCTAGTCCGTCACATCATCCCCCAGGCCCGGGAAATTATCACAACAGGGGCACCACCACTTCCGGACTCTGTTATATAGGTCCTTTTATTGATGGAGAAAGCCCAGCAACAGGGGGCCAGGAGGAGAGTTTCCTGAACGGATCATGGATTCGCGGGTAACGGTTGACTCTGTTTGCCCACTTTTCGTTTCTCTCTCACCTTTCATTCATCCTGTTTCCCCTTCCTTCACTCACTCTCATTCATTACGTTTCGCTTCAATTTCATTCATTCAATTGAAGGCGAAACGATCTCACAAAGCGGTTCACTCTTTTCCCGCTCGACGTTGTGACGGGGCTGGGGTTTAGGAATACGGGCAGAGAGAGAACACCGGACCCCCAAATTCAATCGTCGGCAGCGCGGCGCATTGCGCTTCCCAGGGCGCGCCCACTTTCGCTCGTTTGAAACAAGGTCGCATTTGTTCGAGATACATTCGTTTCTTTTATATCAAGGGTCCAGCCGCAGCAAGGCTACGAAACTCTGTCCTCGTCCCGGGAAGGCCGAGATAATGGTGCGGGATCTCGCCGTATAACCCAACCTACACGCAACGCCAACAGCCTTGTCGCCCAAAGAAAGCAACTCTGGCAATTATTGTCTGCAGAGCCTGGCATCGGCAATTGCAATTGCCAGCCTTTTGCTTCGGGATCGAATAGGGATTGGGCAATACTGGAGGGAAACTCAACTGGAGGAATCCAGCTAGAGGGATCGGAAACGACCAGATCTAAAGTAAGGTGGCAAGAGGAAAGGAATCATCGGTAACAAGATGATGAACGACCGCCCTCCCCCGCCGGACGAACCGGACCCGATCGTCCCCCGCGACCTCAAAGCAAAACGCTCCGTGCCGTCACCCCGCAAAGCAGCCACCATCCGGAGCGCAAAAGGGTCCATATTTGGCAAAGCATCGATACCCAGCGTCTACTGGGCCGGCGACGACCCGACGCCCATGAACAATGAAGAGTTCACGTTCTACCGCGAGGACACGCCGCCGCTGCCGGATGGCACCGGCGGTGACAAAGCTGCTCGGACGCGGGGGTATCGGCAGAGCGTGTTCGATCACGACGAGGAGGATAGCGACCGCAAGAGGAAGCGCAAGTGCTGCGGTATGACAATGTGGGTGTTTTGGTTGCTCGTCGCTCTGATTGTTGCGGTTGTTCTCGGAGTTGGTATCGGTGTTGGTGTTGGCATTGGCGCGAATCAGAAGTCGGACCAGAGCGCCGCGGCGACGAGGTATGTGCTTCTTCTCTTGAACTTTGACATGCGCGGGGACCTGTCGATTAACAAAGCTCTCTTCAGCAGCTCAACTTCAACGCCCACGCCAACTACAGGCGCGAGTTCGACGTCGTCAACCATGATTGTGCCCACAATGTCCAGCTCCTCCATGCCACGGAGCAGCAGCGATGCAACCGCAACCGAGACGGCATCAACAACGATACCAACCTCGGTAACAAGCACCTCCACGTCAACCCCGTCTCCGACAGCAACTTCGAGCGGCAACGCAATCTGCCCAGACGCGGACAACACGGTCTACAACGTCATCGGCTCCGACAAGCGCTTCCTCCGGGTCTGCGGGGTCGACTACAGCGGCGACGACGGCGCCATCGACATGTCCAACACGCAGGCGAGTACCATGGGCGACTGCATGGAGATTTGCGCAAAGTCGGCCCAGTGCACCGGCGTATCGTGGGGCAACGTCATGATCAACGGCGCCGCGGAGCTGCGGTGCTGGCTAAAGCGGGACTTGAAAAAGTCGCATGCGGCGGTAGAGAATTGGAACTTTGCCGTCTTGTTATGATAAAGGAAGACCCCTGTAGATATTTTGGAAACAAAACTAATGATAATGTCAAGTATGCGAAGAGACATGTGGAGGAAAATATCAGATACCACATCAGATGGAAGCGGGCGTATACGGAGTCATTGTAGACAGCTTCAACGAGGGGAATGAAAGTATCAAGTATGTTTCTCCTTCGTGTCTGGAACTATCTGAAAAGGCCGTGAAATTCCCCGCGACATCATAATTCCCATTACTTCCTCCTAAATCAAGGTATCAACTAGTGCCAGTGAAGGCTTCCCTTGCCCATCTTCATGGCCATGCCCCACGTTCCTTTCTTCTTAGTTAAAGGCACACACATCAACAAGTCAACTCTTACTGAATAGCAGCAACAATGAATCCAGCCATGGCCGCCGCCGCAACAACAGCCCCAGTCTCCCTAGGCTTAGCAGCAGCGTTATGCGATCCCCCGATACCCCCAGATCCGCCGCCGTTGACCGGCCCCGCGCTGGTAATCTGCGCCACGACGGAACTACACTGATTCGTACCCGTAGGCAAAACGTCCACGATGCCAGGAACGTCGCTGCAAGCCTGCCACAGCGCGCGGAAGTCGGTGATGTGCTTATCTCTCCACGAAGTGTACGACGACGCATAGGTAGAGTACGCGGAGCCGACGGACCCCGTGATGGTTGGGTCGGAGCAGGCGTCCGTGATGGTCACTGAGAGCGCAAGATAGGCGGCCACGTCGGCGGGCGGAGTGGGCACGTTGTCGGTAATTTTGGGGAGGATGGAGGTAGCGACGGATGTACAGGCGTTGAGGTCGCGGCGTTCCTTGATGGCTGCGTTGGCGGCTGCTATGGCCTCACTGGCGCGGTTTGGTACGTCTATGGCTTCCAGGGCGTTTGCTGTTGCGCAGAGGGCTGCGACGAAGTAGGTTGAGGGACGCATTGTAGTAGTTTGTATGAGTGTATGTGAGTGCGTGTGGGTACGAATGAAGTCCCGTCTTGTAATTACTGGGTGTTGGATGGGTTGATATGGCTGCGGGCAAGGACTCTGTGCTGTGGGCACGGTCGAGGGAGGCGATGATGAGTGATGACGGTGATCTGTAAAGTGAATGCACGTTCTGATGTCGTCTTGTGCTTAACCTCTTCCTTGGTAAAGGAGTGACGGTCGTCTTAAATCAAATTCACCGATACGCTCATGCCTTGGATCATGTATGCGAGCTTGGCGGGAGGCTGACGGTTCACCCCCTAGATTCATGAAGTGATGTATGAGGCTCAATACACCTTACGGAAGCCAACTGACTGTGGCGAGCTATACTGCATAAGCAACAGGGAACGATGCATGCTCGTCAGAACTCAAGAAAAGCCGCGGCAAGATATTCTGTCGGTCATCCGCTCGGCATGGCAAAAGGCTCAGTTACACCTCTACCTGGCATGGCATCCTCGGCCCGCCTTCTCATCGTCTCGTGTCGGGAGACCTGTAAAACGCGCCCCTACGCTGAGCCACCGCTACGCCGAACGCGTTTAGAAGAGCTTGACGGAGGCGGGACATTAGCGTCAAAGCCAAAGTGTCAGGAATGGGTGGCACTCTCATTGGCATGCGTGTGAAGGCTGGGGAATGAGACATGTCGCGCTCTAGCGTTGTGGCGTTGGGCAAATGTTGGTGCCTGCGCTCATATCTTCCTCCCGCTCAGCCCTGATACCATATTTTGGTGACATCTCGACGCTTTCATATCCACCGTCGGCCTGCTGTGGCTTTTTCATGTCTCATGCAATATCAGCCTTGCCGGCTGACGGTTTCTCATCTTACGCCTCTTGGTAGTTGAAAGTGTCAAACGCTTCAACGATCTGTGACATCGCCGGATGGGGAAACGGGTCGGAACGTGCTGACCAACCCTGAGGGCGAACTCGCGATGAACACCGCCATGTTGCTTTGACCGTGTAAAAACGCTGACATGTTCTCTAACTCGAAACCAATCCGATGTTCGGCGTATCATGGTATTCCGCATCTCTTGGTATTCTTCCTCCCTGCCTCAGCGAGAGGCATCCTGTGCGTCATTCTGTATCTTCGCGTCCTTCCTTTCCGTCCCAATTCTCCCTCAGAGTTCACCACCCGCATGAAACAAATTTGTCCTCAAGATCCCTCTGATGTACGACTTTCCAGCTCCTTGGCTTCACACTCCTTGACTGCCTTCGAGTGTCGAGCATAAGACTCAAAGATGCCCATGAAGGGAATGATGAGTAAGAAGAGTGGAACAAGTTGGCTGAATACGATGTCATCATCGTCATCGGCCTTTTCCACAATCAAGCGTGCGATCCATCGATCGAAGAGAAGAGACCATACCCCATATATGAAGTAACCAGTCAGTCCAAGCAGCATCCCTGTTTCAGACGCGAGAAAGTACCACAAGGCCAAAGGCAATGCTTTCAGCGCCTTCAACACTTTGTTTTCTGTCCATCGCTTGAAAACCATTTCTGGGTTCAAAACGTTGACTGGCTGGCCTTGCCTATCAACAAGGAAGCTTCTAATGTGGTCCATCCAGTAGATACGACCAGTGCGCCAAGTGAGGAAGATCTGTACTGCATAAAAGTACGACATCAAGACCAGGTTGGCCACCATCATCTGGTTCCATGGTCCATCCCCTCTTCCCTCAACTAACATGCAGTCCATCGGGCAGCTCATGTAGGCATAGACCAACTCGAACCCAGTAGCCCAGAATGCGAAGACAAGGAAGGCAAATGTGGAGACCATGAAAAAGATTCGTAAGGCGCGACTTAGACGCGCAGCAAGTTCGGTTTGCTCGTGATTGTAACGATGCGGATGCGTTCTCTTGACGCTATCTCTCATTCTTCGAGTGACTACAAGCGATAGGAGATGAGAGTTGGTGCAGAACCATGCGAGGTCAGTGATAATGAGAAAATGGTAGACCGAGATCTCCCGTTGCGCTAGCTCTGTGAATCCGGCAACTAAGATGGCGAGGCCCGTCACAAGCTGAAGATCGCTAAAGGTATTGACGAGATCGTAGGCGATGAGAGATTGTAAGTCAGGGCTGACGCCCTTTCGATACATGAAGTGGCGGAGAGGCTCGGATATGCGTCTGCGAACAAAACGGTCGACTGGGTTGAACGTCTGTCGCTCTTCGTTGGTACGGCCCACGATGAAGCAGTATATTGACAAGCAGAGAGTGAAGAAAGCAGTAATGGTAAACGCCGCCAGTACCTGCACTCAGTGAATGCAATTAGCAAACAACAATATTGAGTTTGGGGCTCTCGAAGTTGTAACTCACACACTTCCCCGCAATATCCGGCTTGGGTTCCATTGCCGGACACTCGCAGTCCTTGTAGTAAAGACATGGTAACTTTTTGAATTCTTGGATGCTCAGCTGGTAGTTGCCGTCACTGTTGACGCAACTCACAACATCTTCTGCCAGGGATTCGGACTTCACTTTCCTGAACTCCGTAACGTCAATTGGCAGAGACCTCATTCTGCTTAGTGTTCGGATAGTCAGGTCAAAAATCCGATTAAGCTGGGGTGTGTTCGTTTCGGATCCTGGTAGATGGGGAAACAAGCATGGCAGAGGGGGCTGGATTAGACACTTTATAGCTTGGCATCGACGTGCTGGCAAACAAATGGGGTACTAATTCAACAATATCACGACTTCGAATGAATTCGTTCAAAGAAACTGACAGTCACACAACGTGGCATCGGCGAAGTGCCGGTAAAGAGCCGCGCGCCAGCGCCGGCTCCGGAATGTTTCAACGCCATGGCTTTACTAGAAGAACTTACACTTCAGCTCTGGGTCACAATGGCCCCCATCCAAATTGAAGGCTCAAGAAGGTTGCACTGCTTGCGACTCTGATAGCATGCCTGGCTTTTCCAGGCTGAAAATCTGATGCTGCCATGTCTTGTATATCTCTTTTTGCCAAGAGCCACTCGACGTGAGCGTCGTACGACTGTGGTGATGTTGGCCAGGAAGCATGATCCCGATGATGTGGAGAATGTCGATCCCGGCCGGGACGTCCCGAGACGGAGGCTACGGCGTCAGTATCCACATATCATCCGGTAAATCTCGACTTTTCGAGGCTACTCCTTTGGATCTGTGGCCTTCTTTCCTCGAGCTCGGTCAACCCCCGAGTTTCATGGTGCATGTACCTTGAGTATCTTGAGTTAGAGTAGGTAGTCAAGTGGCCAACTGGGAAATCGCGTTCCCTGATTGCATGTTCCTTGACTCCTGCCTCTTACTCTGGCCTCCCATTCCGCACCAAATCACACCCTACAATTACAAAGACACAAGACTCAACCTCGACTCTTTCGTTCGGCAGCGCCCCTGTATTACCACGTCTTGATACCCTACGTGCCACTTTACAGCGTTCCGTGGCTAGGTAAATGGCTATCCTTGAATTTGTGTCATGGCTGCAGATTTTAGTCCGATTCCACTTTGAGTGCAGGCGACATGTACAATTCGCCCACAACCTTGGTGGAAGTTGATTCCCGCAAAAGCACGGGGCCATAAAAGTAACTTCAGCAGAAAATTCCGCATCAGCTGCACCTTGGTAGCCCGAACAACTGAGGAATCTTTAAAAAGCGAGGCTCGAAGACGCCTCTTTGCTCCCAGAAGTTTTGTCCCTCAGACCTATGATGCTGTTAGCATATTGCAACTTTGTTGCGAGCTATATGGGGTGTAGTGAGGAGTGACCGAGACCATTGTCTGCTTCTGATGGCTTGGCGGGTTGCTATCCAAGAAGGCTCGGTCCTCTCTTCATCATTACGAGCCTACAGCTGCAGGCTCGTGTAAGGGTTTAGACTGACAGGAACGGTGATGAAAATATCGATCATGGAGCAGCTTTTCTCTTGATTGAGTTATACATCAGACTCGTGAGATCGCATCTTGAGTTCTCCTGTCTACTACTTCTTGGAATCTGCCTCTGCCTGTGGGATCTCCTCCAGACACCAGCAACCCAGACAAAATGTCATGGAGTGGTCCTTCCATGCTGAGTGACAACTACGGCCCGCTGGAAAACGTGGTCTTGGAAATGCGTTTCCCCACAGGGCAGCGCTGTTGTTTCTCAATTTTGAGATTATCTGCAGAACGAAAAAGGTGCTCTTGTCCCAGGTGGGTAATGATCCTGGCGCTGGCAATAAGTCATTTTTCTTGATCAGTACATCATCACCGTTAGGACTCTTTTAGATTTTCCCACATGTGCCAAGTTCTTACAGTGACTAAGCCCGAGATTATGTGCCGGAACCGAAGTCGGCGAAATCAAGAGCGTTAGGTTCAAAACGAACTGTTAAGCCACATCTGAGACGAACTACCTACGCAGAAATGATACACCATATGCCAATCGCGCCTCTGACAGCCAAGTGCCGAAAGTCTGATATGGAGATGTAGCTCAACGCTGATAGCAACTTCTCGGGCGATTGGCCAGAGCTTCTCGTGCCTTCAACTCAATTACTGTGCTGCCTCGGTTGATGGCTCACTGCTCAGTTCCGAGCTACCGTGCGACCTTGGGTATAAACAGCTGTTGGGCTGTCCTACATATGGCCCGATGAGACCCGTATCACCGTAAGGACTCCCGAAAATGCTGGCAATCTTCTCAGGTACTGAAATCTTTGAAAATGGCAGCAGTATCTCATGCGAACTCAATCGCCGGCTTGAAGCCATGGAACAAGGACCAGGACACCGTCTACGCCCTCAATCGCGGCGACCTAGCCAAGGAGCGTGAGCGGCTCGAGTACAACCACAGGAACATCTTCCTCTCTCTTTGCGTTGGACTCTGTCCCCAGCAAATCTTGACACATCTCAAGAAGCAGCAGAACCCTCGCGTTGCAGGGATCGCCACCGGCACTGGGATCTGGCTTAGAGACATGTTCAAGCTACTCCCCTCCTCTGCCGAGCTGCGAGGCATAGATATGGACACCATCAAGTTTCCGCCACCATCAGATTTGCCTCCCAATATTTCTATTCTACAACACAATGCGCTGAAGCCGTTTCCAGAGGAGATGCACGGGTCATTCGATATGGTACACATACGCCTGATCGGATCGGGAATGCGAAAAGAGGATTGGAGAACTGTGGCGGCGAATGCGTTCACGCTCTTACGCTCCGGGGGCTACATCCACTGGGAAGAAGCCGGCGATACGTCCTGGAAGTGCGTCCCGCCTAGCCACGCTTTCGACGAATGGTCTCGAATTAGACTGTTCTGGTCTACCAAAGGCGGCCGTAATCCAAGATAAGTTCTTCAAGTGTTTTCAGTACTGTCTACAGTGTTTTTGGACAAATTCCTATCACCACATTTATAGCGTTTTCATCTTACTCATCCTGGTCATCCAATACAGCATGCCCGCTCAACTTGCCCTCGTGCTCCGAGACGCCGGCTTCGCGGATGTCGACGATAAATTTGGAACATTTTCAGTGTGGAGGACATGATGCGAGAGTCGATGAGAAAGATAGCCACCGAGGTTGCTCAGCCAGTAATGCTGTCTATACTTGAATCTGGAGGCGTCGACACACTCCAAACCACCAAAGACATGTACAGGCTTGAGTCAGAGTTGAAAAGAGACATACAGAACGGAGCGTTGATCGGGATTTCTTTGACCTGGTTCTGGGTTAGGCACCCGTGAGGTTACACATGAGCGGACGCACGTGTAGTTAAAGGCTAGATAAATGAACACTCTTTACGTGTCTGCAAAGAATGATAATTTAGGCGGCAATGTAGCACGTCAGGAGCATGGACGGGAGCCAACCACCACGCGAAGGTAGTTGAATGAGAAGTACGATTGGTCCCAGAAAGGACTGGGGTTACGGACACTTACTCTCTCTCGAGACAACTGCAACTCGCATTCAGCAAACCGGCAAATGCTGTTAAGTCAAAAGCCAGCACAGACTTGAGTTCAGTCAACTGGCATGACAATTTGGTCCTTCGGTTGCCGTTTGGCAGCCACAAAAGTTCAACTTTGTCATACTTGTAGTATCCAAAATGCAACTGGGCAGGAAAACAAAAGGTAATCGACGTTGGCCTGATTCGAACAGACGCTCCCGAAGGAACAAGATTTCTAGTCTTGCGCATTAGACCACTCTGCCACAACGCCGGCGATCCATATTGCGGATGCAATGTGGTGTGGAGATGGTGTGGAAGGCCAATCGTGAAAAGAAGACCCCACGCATAGCAGACCCAGGTGAAGTGCGGTGGGTGACGACAGTGTAAGTTGTAACACAGGCATGCTTTGTGTTGCCAGGAACGAAGTTTGGGTACTGAAAGCCATATAATTTAGGATCTATACACGGGCTTTTCTTGATTGTATAATTAGAGTGACTGCTTTATAATTGGCCATGTCCCTAATATCATAGATTTATGCCAAATGCTACGGGGACATCGGCGAGGTAGTGGTAGGCGATTTCCTTACGTGAACTCTTCCAGCCGCTGTATTCAAGCAATTTAATCTCTCGAGGCTCCATTAGTTCGATCCAAAACATATTTGAATGGAGGTTTCTTAGAGCAATTGATTGAAGAATTCTGGAACCTAGCTAATGAAGTGAAGTTACTACATGGATTTAGGCTGGTATGCGTCCACTAGGAACACAAAGCAGCATGATGTACTGAGTACAGTGCAACGCAAGATCTACACATGACAGCCATATTAAATGCAACATGATCTCCCCTGTCTTCAAGTGTCAAGTACTAACTTTCCGCAAGGCTTACGTGAAGGAACGCAGTGATCAAATGCGCTCTTCGGAAGATGTCGCGGTGGCGCACCTTGTGATATGCCAATACCCGAAACCTACCTCGCCTACCTTACTCAACGAACTTTCAACTTCACATTCTCAACTATCCAGTGGCGCATCCGACAAAGGTAGGATATGTCGTTAGCAAAGCAGCCACTCCAACGTAAACTCCTGTCCTTTCAAACCTTTAAATTGCTCCCCACCTTCTCGTAAAGCCACATGTTTACTGACATGCCTTTTGACTTAAAAGGGGCATATTGAATTTTGTTTGATGTCAATCCTGTTGACTTATCACCTGGTCGTTAACATGGCGAAGGTCACTCAGAGATATCTGAGCCGTATTTTCTACGAGTATGAAGTTCAAGCTGCCCAGTTTGCTTTCAGGCTTTCTGCCCTAGATGCACGATTTGATATATCTCCGAGCTTTTGCGCTTGATTTCTTGTAATGTGCAAGAACGACTTTTGTGAATTATCAAGAACGATGTCGAATGACAGCTTGGCTTATAGTTCGCAGGCGGAAGCCTCGCAAGCAGCACCCAAGGCGAAGCATCTTCGTCTGCCCAATGGAGTATACGCTCCCACTCTCGCCTTCTTTACATATTCCGAGGACATCGACACAATAGTTCTCGAGCATCATGTCACCAGACTTATCAAAGCAGGGGTAGCAGGCATCGTTATCCACAGTTCCATCGGCGAATCAGTGCACCTGACGAGGGAGGAACGCAGCATCATGATTCGGTGCGTAGCCGATACTATCTACAGAGGGTATTGCGACAGACTCAAGAATCCCCGCGCTCCATTGATCGCCGCGTGCGGTGCTCAGTCGACGCGTGGAACACTTCAACTTTGTCGAGACGCAGCCGAGAGCGGCGCGTCTCACGCATTGATAACAGTTCCAAGCTACTACGCATCTGTCATAAGCAATGAAATGATCATACAGCACTTCTTCGACGTCACAGACAGATCGCCTATCCCACTGGTCATCGACAACTTCCCCGCGGCGGCATCGGGACTGCGACTCACTTTGGACGACATCCTCCGTATCGCGAAGCACCCTAACGTCGTGGGCGTCAATTTCAAGTATGACCACATGAAGAATCTCGCGCGAGAGGCGTATGAACTGTTTCCCAAGGGCTTTTTTGTGGCCGGCGGCAACACCAACTCCATCCGACAGTGCCAAGTCCTCGGGTGGAATGGAACGATCGCGGGGCTCGCCGACTTTGCAACGTATGCGTGCGTGGGCGTCAGGGAGCTCTCTGGTCGAGGCAAGCTCCGTGAGGCGGAGGACCTGCAGGCAGTCATTGCGAGAGGGAACTCGGTCGTCACTGGCCTAGGCCTCGTGGGTATAAAGGCGGTGGTCAAATTTTGGAACGACTATGGAGGCACGCCGCGAAAGCCCTGCTACCTGCCGCCACTAATTGAGGTCATCAAAGTTTTAAAGGAGCTTAGTGAGCTGTTCCGGGCAGAGAAAGAAGCGGAAGCGTCAGTCGCGAGATGTTGATGGATGTGGCCCTGCTTTAGTTACTCACGAGAGGCCGGATAGTTGGGGCTCAAGCTACCGATTGAGTTGAAATTGATTAGCTTTTGATCTGTTGGCATTTTAGAAGTACTTTATGTGCTTTGCTCTTGAACCTGTTGAGTGAATGATGTCGGATACTTCGAATGCAACCTACATTTCAACATCGCTCTATGAGAATCGCTTATAGACCACCGCACCGAGTCGAAAATGACCACATAGCCGGTGCCCGTCCGGCCATCCCAACATACACGTCCGGGACCAAGGCGAGGCACCGACAAGAGGGCCGATAAGGAAGGCTGCCATAATGAGCAGGAGAATGGGATTCCGGCCGGAATAGCTAGGCTTGTTCAGTGGCGGCGTCGCAGCTGCAAGGGCCGTGTCAGATTGAGCGCCGGGCGCGAAAGACGGATGACGCGGCATCTGAAGGTGGAACTCCATAGCTGTGGGCTGCGGCCGGGGAAGAAGTCCACTACCGATTCAAGCATACTTAACTTAAGACGGCCTAATTCTTGCGGGGTTCATAAGCACGGGAGTCGCGTTAGGTGTCAATAAGTGACGAACAGCAGCCTGGTTCAGTGCTGTCTTACTTGTCCGATCCTTGAGATGAGTTCAGAGTACCAAGTCCTGACAAAGACCCATACGCTGGACATACGCCATGTTCAAAATGGGTTGAGCAAGAGGGCTAGATAAGTTCCATACAGGGCCGAAGTGAATGCGCCCCTAGATCAGGAAACACATTTCCTCCCCCGCTATTTGAGCTTCAGTGAGGGGGGCTGCGTATGCCTTTGTTTTGATATTGGCTAGCGTTTGAGTCGGAGGCTCATAGCATCTTTACCCAGCTTTGTGCTTATGTCCGAGTCTTCTCCCTTGAACAGAAATAAGAAAGGCTTATTAATCTGCTGCGATGGTGAACATCCCTATCTTCAAGTCTGTAAACAAGTCTCATCAGTATCAAGTGGCTAATCTCATGGAACTTATGAAAGTCATGTAGGCGGCTTCTCGCATGAGTCTCATCGGCCCTTCCACGCATCTCATTTGGGACTACAAATGGATAGCTCCAGTCAATCTAGAAGCCGTCATCTGGCCAACCGCCCGGCTTCATGCCGAACGGCGGCTACTGACGACATCCTGCTGCATCCCGAAAGCCAAAAGATCCACCGTCCGACCACCGGAGACCAAAAATGAAGAAAGATTGGAACTCAGGAGAGCTTCTGTGTGTACGGAGTATGATTATGTCATCCACACTCGGCCGATAGAATCGGTCAGTAACCGAACCAAGCAGATTGAGGTCTTGGCCCATCTTGAGAGGCACAGCGGGAATGTGGAGGGGCCTCAGCTCCTGTTTCTCCATCTTTCATCCCAATGATCCCATAAATTTAAAAAGTGCATTTCATCTCCCACATTCTCCGTCGCATAAACAGCTGCAGCCATGTTTTTCGCTTGTCTATCCGCGTCCATCCCCTTTTCCTCTTCCTTGCTTCCTCCCCTCCTCACCTGTAGGTAAAATTCAAACGGCCCAATCTAACGGGCTCAGTCTGTTCAGGAGGAGCCTGCCTAGGAGGAGGGGCCGAGGGGGGGGGCCTGGAGCCTGTGCCTGGTCTGGCCCAGGTACCCGCTGATGGGACAAGGTTTAGCGCCCTTGACCCTGCCTCGGATCCACGATGTGGGCACGGGGGTGAGTTTCAATGTGTTCAGTTGATGATCGGACGAAGAAGGCGAGAAGAAGAAACGAGGACCGATGAGCGCCCTGCCTGGTAATACTTGGCCTGGTCTGGCTGCGGGCAGCCAGTCTGCACACCGACAATCAGCCAAGCCGGGTACGAAAAGCAGACCAGAAGAGAGAACCGCTTTGGGGAATTGGGAATGCGTTGGCGTTTTCGAATGACGCGCGCCATAGAGAGGCCCACGATTTGGGAGCCAAGTCGGGTGCGTCGGAGTCCACATGGGTGAAAGGCTTTGGTCTGAAGTTGATGAAGAGATGCGCTGAGCGTTGAGGCCATGAGACACGCCTGCACACCGAGTGATGCCATCAGCGCGATCGGGCTGGACAGCTAAAGTCGCACTGGAGAAGGATCTCGTTCTATGTGAGATGCATCCAGATTGAACGGCAGTGCATCACGGTCACCGTTTACCAGTCGGTAGCTCATTCCGGGCGACGATTACTGATACGGTCAAGTCTCGACTAATACACTTCGCCCTTGCCTTGCATGTGAACTTGAAAGGGGCTTCGGCCAAGGTAGGTCGGGCTCGACCAGCTCCAGTTCAGCTCAATAGATTGGCAACAATCGAGATTGTATTCACGGAGGGAGCTTCTCGAAACAGGCCAGCTACCCGCACAGCAACTCAAAATGTTCCCAAGAAGGAGACGAAGAAAGCGTGGATAGTGACAAACATGATCTGTCATGCCCCTTTAAAGACAGGCAGCTTCCCGACGAGCGCATCGACCTTTTATTTCTCGCTTGCAGGGACGTTCCAGGTCGTAAAGATCCTCATATGATCTCCCGTTGAGGTCATCGAAGATGCGAGAGGCCGAGGAACCGAAGATGGGACGAGGAAAAGGACCGTGACTTCTACCGCAACTACTCCGTACACAGCTTTTACCTGACTACGACAACGTGAACGAGGTCAACCGTCCAGATTCCATCGAATCGCGTAAAGCAAAGTGGTGGGGGTCATATGGCGGAGCCGCCTGAAAGATGCGTGATGGCGCCGTTTCAGCCATCCCGGTTCAGGAGCGAGAAGGGTGAGGCAAGGATCATGTCAGATGGCTTCGTGCGGCGTGCGCCCCTCCCCCCTCCCTCTCCCCATCTCACTTTCGAGTCGACCAACTCGAACCC